TCTGGTGCTGGGAGCTGTCAAGACCAACATCGGCCACACCGAAGGGGCAGCAGGCATTGCCAGCCTCATCAAGGTCATCCTCACCTTGCGACACGGCTTGGCACCGCCAAACCTGCACCTCAAACAGCTCAATCCCTACATCGACTCGACGGGGGACTTCCCATTCGTCATGCCGGTCCAGGAGGGAGGAGGACTCAGGCTCAACACCACGGACGACACCTCACACACAGGCACACTCATCGGCGGATTGGGCTCCTTTGGTTTCGGAGGGTGCAATACTTACCTGATCATGGAGACTCGTATCGGTCCGGTATCCCGAGGGAAGGACAACGGAGAGGAGAAGGACTGGCTCTGCAACCCTGTGTCGTGGGATCATCGACCATTCGGGTGGGACATGGTTCAGCTAATGGTTGATGCCACTCAGTCGGCTCAGCGGAGACTGAGCGAACACGGCCTCCTCGATGGTCAAGTATCCCAGCCCCTTGGTGAGGATGGGAAGGACATTGACCTCAAGACGATGAAGGAGGAGGATGTGTCAAAGCTGATGATTGAGTTGGTGGCGGATCTGTCGGGGCAAGAGGTCTCCGCTGAAACTCCCTTATTCGAGATGGGAATGGACTCCCGCGCCGTCATCGAGCTGCACGAGTCTGTGAGGAAAATGACGGGAATCGTCATGCCGCAGACCCTCCTCTTCGACAACCCCACCGTCACTACACTTGCCAAGTTCATCCTCGAGCAGGCGCACAACATGGACACCGCATCCATCGTCGACATCAGCTCCATCAGCACCACCCAGTCTCGGTCGCGCAAGCGGAGGGCCACTGACTTCGCCGTTGATCCGCTCTATGACCTCGCCGACCTCAGGGCCAACCTCCGTATTGACTTGTCCATGACGGCTCCGGCCAAGCCGCCTCGAGACTACACCAATGTGCTGCTGACTGGCGCAACAGGCATTGTGGGCCGCTTCCAGCTTGCCTCGCTGCTCGATCGCAATGTGGACGGCAAGAGACTCACCGTGCACTGCATCGTTCGCACCAAGAGCCGGAACGAGGGGCTCTCACGCATCAGGGCGGCCTGCGAGGAGGCCATGATCTGGAAGGACGAGTGGACAGCTCGGATTGTGGTGCTGCTGGGCGACTTGAGCAAGGAGTTGTTCGGACTTGGCCAGGAGAGGTTTTCCACTCTCTGCGAGACCATGGACGCCATCTACCACACTGGAGCGAGTGTATCGCTGTACCAGGGGTATACTCGTGGGCGAGTGACTAACACACTTCCTCTGCTGCCCATGATCGAGCTGTGCACCACTCATCGCCTCAAGCCCCTCCACTTCACTTCCACGCTCGCTATCTTCCCCGCCTTCACTGCCAACTTCACCAAGGAGTTTGCCGAGGAGGAGCTCGTGGAGGGCGCCGCGCCATCCATCCAGCACATGAAGAGGGTATTCCCACCCCAGCAGCAGGGCTACCCCTGGACTAAGTACGTGTGCGAGGAGCTGCTGAGGGAGGCACGTGACCAGGGGCTGCCGGTGACCATCTACAGGCTGCCCAACACCAACATGGCGATCTCGACTGGCTTCACAGGCATGTCCAACGTCGCCACGGCACTGATCGCCAGCTTCATCCAGGAGGGGTTCTTCCCGCGGGCCGCCAGCTGGGCCAACAACACACCCATCGACATGGCTGCTGACGTCATCGTCTCCCTTTCGCTCAAGGACGACAGAAAGCACTGGATGTACCATGTCTGCAATCCCAGCGTCTTCACCGAGTAAGCAAGACACTCATTGAGTAGGCAGGAGTGTCACACAGATTGATGCAACAGCGTAATGGTTCGACATCAGGTCTCTGCTAAGAGAGTGGGCCCAAAGAGCAGGGATCATCCTGAGGCCTGTGAGCTTCGAGGACTTCACGGCGGCCATTAAGGCGAGGGGCCCCAAGTCGCCCATCTTCAACCATGTGCCCGTCATGCGGCACTGGCAGAAGTACTGGTACGAGGACCCCACATCGGACCGCACCGAGGTGCCCATCAGCACATCCAACATGACGGAAGACATCGACGTCAGCTGGCCTGCCGCCGAGCAGCTCTGGAGAGCATCCCTGGTCTACCTGATGAGGCAAGAACTCCTGCCCAGCGACAGCAAGGCCATCGCCCTGGACCCACAGGTCCTGCTCGATATGGCTCGGGGGCAGACGGGACTCAGCCAGCTGGGGGGGTCGGTGGACGAGGAGGATGTGCTTGAGGCCTTTCGTGTCTTCATCCAGTCGGCCCTGGAGGAGAGCAGTAACATGTCCTTCCTGGGCAGGCTCTTGCTGAGCCACAGCATCCGCCAAAGACTCTGCACCCTCCTCTACATGACTCACAGGGCCCACACCCACCCCGCCATCCGTTGTCAGCAGATCAAGCAGCCCCTTTTTGTCGTCGGTTTCGACAGAGCCTCAGTGATGCTTGTGCAGCAACTGCTGGCCTGCGACGAGGGCAACAGGGCACCGACATTCAGTGAGATGCTCTGCCCCTTTGGTGAGGACGGCGAGTACGTCCACGACTCGCCGGAGAAGGTGAGGTGAAGGGGAGAAATGGCTAGATGTGGATGAATCCTGTGCCCAACCCATTGCCTTGTATCCCGTCTTGTGTGTGTGTCTGCAGGATTCTCGCCTTGCACCAGCCCAGGAGGCGATGGATGTCATGTTCGGGAGCAGCGAGTGCGTGAACCGCCTCGGCCCTCTCACAGCCGACATGGCCTTCGACGACTCGATGATACTGCGGCCCGGGACGCAGTTTGACGCTCCCGAGTACGAGTCGCGGCTGTCAGGCAGCAGCGGGTCCGAGGCCCCCCAGGGCTACGGCTTCCACAAGACGTTTCTGCAGCACCTGCAGTGGCAGCAGGGAGGGCAGCCCAAGAGGTGGCTGTTGGCGTCGCCTGACCATGTTGGCCACCTCGACGACGTCCTCACCACATACCCTGACGCTAAAATTGTATTTGCACACCGGTATCGACAGCGTTGTACATTCAGGAGACTCTTTTCATTCAGTACAGTACACCCTGCGCGTATGTATGTATGCATGTATGTATGTATGCTGTCAGGGATGTGTGCGAGACGGTTGCCGGTCGGTGTCAAGAGACCCTGTCCCTCCGACATGGCCTCATGACGGTCGACGCATCCAAGGTGGCCGAGAGGGAGCTCCGCCAGATGGCGACCAACGCCAAGGCCGCGGGCGACTTCAGGAGGCGCCACCCGCACCTCAAGGCCCAGTTCGCCGACGTGACGCTGAGTGACCTCTTGAAAAACCCCGTGGGCCGCGTCAAGCGGCTGTACAGGAAGCTCAAGCTGTCTCCCTTGTCCCACCGCTCGTCCCAGGCCATGTGGAAGATGGTGCTGACCAACAGGAGCAAGTGGAGGACAATGGTCAAGGGTATGCCTGTGTCGGTGTCGCACTTTGGGATCGACGAGGACGACAGCCGCGTCACTTGGCTGTCGGTGGAGAGCCTCATGGGCAAGAAAAGGAAGCGCAGGAGGCTGGTAGTGCGATGTGTTGGTAGCCTCCATCCATCGGTAGTGTGCTGTCGATCGGAGCCCACTCAGGTAGACGTTCTTCCTTGATGGATGGGCGATGTGGTAAGTGTCTGTGTAGATGTATGTATACAGATAGGCGAGGCGGGGGATGGATGCGATGCGATGCGATTCATGGTGTTTGTGTGTTTGTAAGTGCTTAAATGAAGGAGAGATGCAATGCAATGCATGGTGTGCATTGCATGACATTCACTCATTTATATGCGTTGCATGCTGCTGTCTGGACCGATCCATACATACATTAGGATACATGCACTGCACACATACATGCCGTGTGCCGCTGCGCCGCCCCCGCAGCCAGTGGCCCTTGGCGGTGTGGTGTGTGCCGTGTCTGTCTGTCTGTCTGTCTGTCTCTGTGTCTCTGTGTCTGTGTCTGTGTGCATCGCATCCATAACATCCATCCATCCATGGGACACTCCCTTACTTGCTTATTTGTCGTTGGTTGTATGTGGCATGCATTTTTCGTGCTGTCACTTGCCTGTACGTACGTGTGTACTGATCTCTTCCCTGTAGGTGTGTGTACTGCCTGCCGTCCCTCGGCCCACAAAACGTGGGCTGCTTATCTTATTGATCAGCGCTGCGGGGGAGCGGAGTGTCAGATATTATGAGGGAGGGGGTGTACCTGTCTGTCTCTGCTGTCAGTATGTTTCCATACGCACTTGTCATGTCAGCTCAGAGCGCTGCGTGCATACATACGTACAGGCAGAACCGATGTTGGGTTTCTGGGCATCGCATCGCATCGCATTCCATCTGGTGTGTTGCCTGTCTGCTGAACGGCAGCCAGGCAGACATGGTGATTTCCTACGACCTACACATCGCATAGTGTGTTGCTTCCTTGCCTGCGTACTTAGTTCCACATATGGGTGCGTCTGAGGACGCGCACTGCACCGCACCGCACCGCACCCAGCTAGTCGATTTTTGCCATCCATCGGTGTGTCCCCTCTTTTATGGAGAGAGTTTGTGTTGTTGACTTTGCGACGTACAGAGGTTTCGGACGATTGCCGACAGAGTGTGTTTTTTTCCTTTGTGCCCCTCGCGCCGCGGTGCCGTGTTGTACCTGTCTGGCGCGAGCCGTCACAAGGTTGTTCACACCGTTGTTGTCAGTCATGTGCTCCTTTCTTTCGTCTCTTGGTGTACATACATACATTACATGAACGCTGCACTGCACACACCGTACACCCATCCATCCCTGTGCATCACTTGGGTTCTCTTTTCCTACACTGTGTCTTCGTCTTCTGTTTGTTTCATGCATTCATTGCATGCGTAGATGAATGACATGTGCGAAGAGCCTGCTAGGTACGCAGAAGGGCTGACAGTGACAGACCAGACAGGTCTGTGAATATGGCGGAAACAAAAACACCAGACAGCGTGTGGCGCCACAGACTAATATTTCTGTCATCAACGGCCGCACAACAACACACAATACCACCAGCGCCGGCCGCCCGTTTCCATGGGCAGTGGCTTTCAGGAAAAGCCCGAGAGCCCTGCCAGCAACGACTGTTCGTCGGGCGGCCAAACGACCTCCTCGGGCACCAACGTCATCGATCTCCAAGATGGCACTCTCTTCAACGTGCCACTTGGAGGCCCCCGCCACGCGGAGGTCGCTCGCCTCTCGGTCATCGCAAGGCAGGTCCTTGACACCGTATGCGGGCGGCAGGGCGGCTCGTGTGTGTGGGACAGCGCAGCACAGCGGTATGGCTTCCAGGCCGACAACGTAGCCAATCAGAAGGAGGATGTCACCATGACCCTGATTAACATGGTCCTGCGGGACGAGCCTCCAAGGTCCTTCCTGGCCCCACCTTCACCGCCCGAGGAGCGCGCGGACGCCGGCCACACGCAGCGCAGCAGCAGTGGGGCCGTGACGCCATCCGTCTACCAGCAGGTGGGTATGTACCTAATCTTATCGCATCGGCCACCTGACAGCTGTCTGTCTACACAACACACTCCTCCCTGCCTGTCTGCCTGCGTGCCTTGCCTGCTGTGGTGGTTGGTGTCCCAAGGTGCTGGTGGTCTACCACGAGAAGGTCTTCCGCAACTATCGGCGGTGGTGCAGCTTCCTGGGCCTCAAAGCCTTTCCCCTTCATCCACCCCATGCTGCAGTGAGCAGCGACCCGTCTGTGGCCTTTCGTCACCTGTCACAGGACATTGCTCTGTACCGTCTGGTGTGGGGGGAGGCAGCCAACCTGCGGCACTGTCCGGAGCTGCTGTGCTTTATCTTCCACTGGCTCTCGACTGACTGGACGGTGGCACTCAGCAGCGGGGGCGGCCATGGCCATGCTGCATCACCCACCCCACCCTTCATCGACGCAATCTCACCCCTCGTGCAGAAGGTAGGCAGGCAGGTCGGCCGGCGAGTGAGTATGGCGGGCCGGCATGGCGTGTGTGACTTAAGTGCTAGTGTGTGGGTGCAGATGTGGGATGAGATGCGCAAGCCAACCGACAACAATGGCCGCCTCAACTACGACGACTGGAACGAGCTCTGCTGGAACAAGTGTACGTACGAAGGTCCTGGCTGCGTTGATGGGCGATGTGCATGCAGTTGTGTGTATGTGTGACATTCATAGGTGTGGTGTCTGCCAAGGTGTTCATGGGGCCCTGGAGGGGTCAGCTGCTGGAGGCTCTGGTGCCCAAGAGGTCGGCAGCCCGCAAGACGTTTGTGGAGCAGAGGAGCTACCTGACTGTCTTGCTGGCCTTCTCCCGCATCTATTCCTTCAACATCATCACCTTCTTCCTCCTCATCACACTCGCAGTCGACCAACGAGGTCACTCTACCAACCAACCACTCACTCAAACAGTCAGTCAGTCAGTCAGGAAAGGACAGCCAGGGAGGACAGGACTGACTGACTGACTGATACACACCTCCCCCGACCCACATCTTGGCCAGACGTTGCCTGCCTGTCTGCCTGCCTGCCTGCCTGGATGTATGTGTATACGTATGTGTGTATGTGTGTACTGCGTCTGGTTTGTGTGTGTGACAGAGCGTTGGGCGTCTCGCGAGGGCCGTCCGCTGTCGTCATCCTTCTCGAGTTTGTCGTCCCTCGGCCGCCCCTCGGCATGGCTGGCCTGTACCCTCGTCATTGCCATGGCCCTGGGCGGCCTCAAGGAGCTTCTCGAGCTCTGCCTGTCACCCTCCAGGCCCTTGAACGGCGCCAGAAGTTGTGGGGCTGTCCTCGTGGCTCTACTAACCCTGCAGCGGACGGCACGCGCTCTGGCGTCGCTACTCCGACTGGTGTTCGCCGGTGCGGGACTGTACGCCTTCACCAACGACAACACACACCCCTGGCTGAGCTGGAATGGTACGGACACCCGCCTCCACACCTGCCTACCTACCTACCAGCCTGCCTGCCTGCCTGCGTGGATGGCCATCGATCGTTGTCAATCGGGATGGTTCATCTCGCCCTGTTTGTGTTTCTGTCTGTCTGTGTGGACTCACTCCTGCCTGCCTGGCTGCAGGAATGGTGACGTTCCCGTTTCTGTGTTTCTACGTGCTGCATTGGTCGGTGTATGTGTGGGCGGCAGTGCTCAAAGGCATCAGTCGTGCGTCGAGGGTGCTGGAGGGTGCATGTGAGCGGCTCGTCCACTGGGCGGCTGTCCGCCACTTCACGGCCAACGTCCTCAGTGCTGCGGAAGAGCCAGGCCACATCGTGAGGTATTCGCTCTTCTGGCTGGTCGTCTGGGGGGCCAAACTCACATTCAGCTACTTCTACATCTGCAACCCACTACTCGGCGGTCAGCCAGACAACCATCCATCCATCCATCCATCTATCCACCCCCCACGTGTGTCTGTCTATGTATTCATCCATCTATCCATCGGTGGGTGCAGCGACATCGTTGCTATGGCAGCTTCCTGTGGACGTGTCGTCCAGTGTGGGGGCGAGTGTCATCAAGGCCCTCATGGTGCTCGCCGTCTGGCTACCCACACTCGTCAGATACTTCTGGGACACACAGCTGGTATGTACGTGCCTACACACCCACGTAGATGTGATGCGCATGTATCATTGCATTCAGGCAGGCAGGCAGGCAGGCGACACGCACTGAATTGGCCAACAGAAAGAAGATGGGGAGGCGATTTGACCCGTACTTGTTGTGTGCGTGTGTGTGTGTGCAGTTTTATGCGATCCTGCAGGCCATCTGGAGCAGTGTGGCGGCCTACTTGAGGAAGGTGGCGCTCGTACGCAACCCCTCACTCGTACAGGTCGGTAGGCACACAGACAGGTCCACACAATATACCAGCCAGCATGGGTGAGGGGAGTGGCTGTCTGTCTGCAGCGCCTGTTCCACTCGTTGCCCCTTCAATATGAGCGGATCTTGACTGAGGAGGCAGCAGGGGGCTTCAAGCTCATCACCGACACCACCAAGACACCCAGCGCGGCGGGCGCCACATGCACCATCCTGTCCTGCGGCGGCCGGCTATGCTGCTGCCGGCGGCGGAGGGCGGCCATGATTTCGCCTGGCAACAAGCGGCGCCCGTTGCCCCCCATTCCGGTGGGGCAGCTGGTGTCTGGCCACCTGTCCCAGTCGGTGTGGCGGTATTTCTCCAGCTGCTGGCCGCCCCCCGTGTACACGAGGAGCAGCAAGCCCTATCAGGTGGCCCTCAACGCCCTACGTGTCGAATATTCGTCGCAGCAGGGGGACCACCAGGTGGCCCACCCCCACCCTCACCCTCCCACCAACATGATCTGCCCTCAACCCCCCGACCTGACGCTTGCCGTGACGCCCCTGTCAGTGGGTGTGAGCCGCAACGTCAGCCCAGCGGCCGTGCTGCGGCGTGTGGGAGGCGCAGCTACGGGTCGCATCCGTCTGGGTGACTTCACTCCATGCTACACACCCATACACCCACACATCCGCAGGCGGCTGTCCACAGGGGGCATGGCAGACCCACACCACCCACACCACCACAGCGGGACACAGACCTTGAGTGGCGGCAACAGGAGGGGGCAAAGAGCAGCTGGTGGGTGGGCAAGGAGGAGAGACAACATCACCGGGGCTGCTGCAGCAGGAGGAGTCACTGCCCGCCACTCAGATGCGGATGAGTCGTCTGGCCCCGTGCTGCAGTACATGGTAAGCATCGGGGCGGGGCTTGCTCTCATCTGATGAGTGAGTGAGTGCCTGAAGGCCTTCCTGCAAGTGCTTGTCTGTCTGTCTGTCTGCCATCCGCCCTGGGATGGATGGATGGATGAATGCAGCCCATCCGTCGCTTCGCTTACTTTTGGAACGAACTCATCGAGACGTTCAGACAGGTATGGATCCATCGATGGATCGAGAGCGCCAGACACGTCGGGCCGTGTGCATGTGTGTGTGTGTGTGTGTGTGTGTAGGAGGATCTGTTGTGTCACGACGAGCGTCGTGGGTTGCAGTTCAACGAATTGCCCCTGCTCACGTTTAACAGCTGGAGGGACTTCTGGCGTGGCGAGGCACATGACGACCACCCTCTGGCTGGCGGGGTGGTCGTGCAGTGGCAGGAATCAGAGGTAGGTGAGGGCACCTGCCTGCCTGTCTGCCACCCAGTAGAGGCAGGCGATACGCCTCGCTGTCCCTCCATCGGTTGGTGTGCGCGTGTATGTGTGTACCCCACCAAGGTTCGTTATCCGGTGATGTTTTATGCGTCGGTGGTTCACCGTTTCCTGGAGCAGTGTGGCGTGCAGCAGGAGAAGGTCAAGGACATATGGCAACGATTCGCACACAAGAGGTACGCAGGAGCCAGACAGACAGACAGACCGACATCCCTGGCCATGTAGGTAGGTCGATGGGGGTGGGTGGCTCTATGAGACGTACGTGTGGTGTGCAATGGATGGAATGTGCAGATCGGCGTGTGGTCGTCTCGAGTACCATCTGCGCAGCCTAGTGCGTTCGTTTCTGAGTCGTGAGTTCCCCTTCAGCCTGCAGCCCACCGCCCCGGACAAGGGCCGGTCGCCTCTCATGGGCTGGTGCCTCAAACGCACAGCCCGGGGGGCTGGGGGACCGCCGGTGGCCCACCAGGAGGCCAAACAGCTCAACCTCATGGGCGCCGAGGGCACCACGGCAGTACTACACGCCTTCGCCCTTCTGGAAATATTCCAGGGTAACCACCAACCAAACCGTGTTTGTTACACTTACACTCGCACACGGGGGTGCCTAGCCATAGCACGTACGTACCGTACATGTGTCTGTGTGTGTCCCTCACTCACGGCACGGCGTGGACTGCACTGGCTGCAGCGCTGTGCCTGTACCTGTCCCGTAGCTTCCAGCATGGATGGAGATGGTGAGCAAGGCAAGGCAAGGCAGGGCAGAGCAGACAGATGAAATGCAGGTCAGGTAGGGTAGGTCACATCAATAAATGCCCTTTCCTTCCTTCCTTTCTGCCTGGC